GAAGTCAGCGAAACAAGCAGCCAGCTTGCATTAGACTTCTTGCTAACAGGCTCCTTACCTATAATGCAGATCCAGGACCAACAAACAGGTACCAGAACCAGTGGATATGGGAGTTTTTTAAAGCTTTTAAGCAACAATTCAAGTTGTTCCTCAAACAATACCAGGAAGATTGGACCATATCAGAAGAACGCCAGAAAGAACTCATGATTCAGATCATGAGTTTGTTGCATGAGCTGAGTGAGACAAAGAACAAAGCTGCAGATGCAGGGGCCTTAAGAAGCGGACAAAAACAGGACAAGCATCACGTAGATGCCAAAAAGAGTGCCAAAGGGGGTGTGAACTGTACGCAGTTGCCAATCTTGATCTTCCACACTACGAAGGCAAGATAGATCTGTTGGGCGGGCTAAACTGATATGAGCATATTTTCCAGCATCAACAAACAGCCGAAGAAGATGAGGCTGGCTTCCTTTCCCTTGGAGGACAATTCCCAATTATGGTTTCTTAAGCTGGAACGGCCCTGCCAGAACTTCACATGGAAAATATCAAACTTATGCTTCAGGCCAGGTGTCCTTCAGAACAAGCTGGGAAAATCAGTGAAGCTGCAGCAGAAGTAGTAGATTACTTTCTGGCGTTTCAAGCAACTTTTTGCCATACCTTCTTTTCTCACACAAATCCAAGAACTCAAAGATTTTGTTAGTGGTTGCAACATCAGAAGAGAATAGATTCTGGACATATTTCACTGATAAGATGGATATATATATATATACACACACACAATTGTAATGTTTTTATATTATTAAGGTACTTAACTTATTCAAGAATTAGTATCTATAGGTTCATTAATACTCTAAGTTTATTATTCCCAATTTTGTTAGGATCTAATTTTGTTATTCTCTGTTGTAGGTTATTGCAGCTTATTGGCTATTTTTTATTCAGTAGAATTCTTAGATAGAATTAAGAATTTCAATTTTGGTTGTAATCTACTATTATAAATAGGGTACCCTACCTTAGTTATTTGGTAAATGATTTATAGGATTACCATTCAAATATTAAGTTATTGACTTATTGAGCTCCAAGATCTCTAATCTTGGTTCTAAATAAATTTCCTTTAAGTATTGAGTTCAACATCTCTTTTTTCTACATTAATTAGTATAAGAGCCTAAATTCACTTCATCATGCTGCTCGAAATTTTTACCCAAGTTTAATAAAACACAACCCTACAGCAAAAAGCAAAGAAACAATCCTGAACTAAATTATCCACCAAATAGGAGAGAGCAACATCACATCATGGCACAACAAAATCCCTAGCCAAAGCTGGGAGGTGGTTGACACCGCCATTTTGTTGACTTCTGAGGGTATCGATCGATCTACCCACCAAATCTTAGCATCTACAGTTGCCAAAATTTTTCTGACTCGCCAAAAGCCCACCAGATCACTGCTAGGAACACTAAAATTCCTCTTTCCTAACTGCAACGAGTGATGCCAAAACCAAATCTGAAACCAATGCATCCAGACGAATCCTCCGCCATAGATTGTTGTTGAAAGTTTGTCAAAAGCCGGCGTTACACCCACACATCAATCCAATGCATATTTTTGGAATGTTGAAGCCTTTTGTTGACCGGATAAAACCAAGTCTGGTTCAACCATCTATGCACCGGTTCTTGATATCTTCATACTAGTTCTTAAGGCTTTTAATCGTGTTTTTTCATTTTTCAAGGTTAGTTTGGTCGAAAATTCTTGTTCTGTATTCACTTTTTGATAGGTCAACAATTTAGAAAAGTGAGTCAATATTTATTCATGCATTCTGCCAAATTTATTTGATTTAAGATGTACATTAAGTTTTCCAATTGGATTAATGGAAGAGAAAATGAAGCTAATACCAGTAGTGTTATGACATCATGAGGTGGAGGGCTTGAATGATGGCTTATAGACATTGTTCATATGCTTATTGACCCTCCTCCAACTAGTGAACTTTTTGGTCTTTTGGACCAAGTAAAGTATTGTCTCGTAAAGATGTATCAAGAACCATTAAGTCAATGGGAGATGCACTTCGTCCATTATTAATAGCCTTGGTTAGTGATCAACTTCTCAAGCATTCAAATATCTAAGTGAAACTTGAAATTGCTTCCTACATATGTGAGCCAAGTAGAATTAATAGCACTATATAAAATGGTCAATGTTTTACCTGGGAACGAAACTCGGGAATAAATGCTATCAGATCATCAAAAGACAGATCATTTAGAATGCGCAGCTTCTCGTCCACGTCATAGAAACTTTTACACAGAAGTTGTAGTCTCAGGTATGTTGAATGACTTAAAGGCTTCATATTTGCATTTCTCAGTTTCCTCTCCATATTCTCCTTAATAACCTATATATTCATCTCCAGTTGTCACAAAGTAATAAACACGGATAATTTCACATGAAATGCGAAGTAAACTTAGGATCAAATATGTGGCATTGTAATTACAATTATATGATACATTATGAAAATAACTCGAAAGAGAGATTAAAACCTAGCACTCTTTATCATGGGATCAAGGCTGCAGACAATAACCTATATATTCATTTCCAGTTGTCACAGACAAAGAAAAGAACCATAATTTCATATAAAATGCAAAGTAAACTTAGGATCAACTATGTACTGTAATTACATATTAACGTACATTATGACAAGAATGTGAAAAAAGATTAAAGTCCCTATCATGGGATCAAGCTAGGACATGTACAAGTGGCAGCTTCCTTCTCAAAATGCGAATGAAGCACTAACAGCCAAAAGAATATATATACACACACACATATATGTAGCATACAATATATACAAGCAAGATAATGACCAAAGCATGTAATTACCTTAAAACGATCATTTGCTGGCAGGAAAGACTTGGCTATCAATAAGAGCTTAGACAAAAGAGTTGGAAGCTTATCATTAAAACCATAAACTTTTAGCTCTAGCTTGTCATTGACAACAGATACAGAAGTTTCCAACTTCGCCATACTGGCCTGTGGATAAAGAATTAAGAGCATGTCTTATGAAAAGAACTCGAATCAAAACCAAAGAAAATGAGCTAACTGAAAAAACTCGTAACTACTTCTAAAGGACAAACCATCATAAATTAAATATGCTGAATCCAAATTAAGTACAACTTAATTTTCTTTCAATAGGAAAACAAAAAAAAAAAATATATATATATATATATATACGCTGTTAACCTGATATATTGTCTCATTCAAATCATCTTTCAGAAGATCAACAAATAGCTCTGTTAAAAGACTACTCTTGGCATCACCACATCCCCCTTTCAGGTTTATTCGGAAGTACGCATTCGCACGAGGAACTTTGAAAGTATTATCAAGCTTGTACCAGAACTTTATCAGCGGTTCATCAATAATACATCTAGGAGAAGATAAGTTTGCAAGATCATTTCTCTTGTCGGCATGGATAGAAAAAGTACGAGGAATAAATTCATTCTTTGAAGGCAGATGCAATGTAACATCAATTTCAGGAGGATCCTTCCATAATTCCATCAGTGATGGAGGAATATCTTCCTCTGTGTAACGAGATCCAAACCAAGGCTCATTTTGGAATTCTGAGACAGAAACAAAAAAGTATATACAAAGAGTAAGAAAAACATAAGGAACCCTATCACCTCTTTCATGCGTACACAATTTTCAACATCATATTGTCAGACAAGACTTGAGTAAAATTCACATGAACATAATCCAGAGAATATATGTCTAGCAGCACATAAGGTGAGATAATGAGATCAATGTTAAATTCTTTTGTAGAAAACTCTCTGCAGCATGAAAGTAAATTGTCTGTCTGCCACAAACTGACATGATTTGGCAATTATACACCTCAAATAAGACAAATTTGAGAGTACAGTAATATAGAAGATGGGAAATGAAAATGATGGCAGTGAATAGTTACCTTGTGAATTAATGGACTTCGATATAATATCAATCCGCATATTCTCTGGTGTAAATATACCCAGAACAGAAGTTATTATTTCTTCATCCCAAATCTCATGCGCATAGTCCCCAAAAATAACATGCTGCGTCGGATAAACAAGCAAATTCTCTGCAATGGCAGAATCTCAATGAAGTTAATAAAGAAGAAAAAAGACTTTTTTTTTCAAGGGAAAACACGAAATTATTTCCAGGAAGTGGCAAAGGAACAAAAGAGCTAAAATAATATTCCAGAGTCAACATGGTGTTTCCTCTTATTACTAAAAAGATGTTGACTAACTAAAATTGTCAAGCAAACACATTCAGTATTCAAATTATCTTCCTGAACTAAATTACGGAATGGGGGGGGAAAAAGGAAAACAATTGCAAGAAGTCTCAACTCTCAATAATAGAAACATCTGTAGAACCCAATATTACAATCAAAAGATATCTATCTAATGCACACAAAAAGAATACTAATCCACATGCATGAAAAATAAATTTAACAAAAGGAAGACCTGCAAGCTGAGCAGCATACTCATCCGGAGGTTGCTCCTCTGCAAACCTGAAGTCCATGTTTCCAATATCCTGCAGTTCCTTAAATATCCATTCCTGAGGAGAAAACTTATGCAGTAGCCTAAGGTATTGATAGACATAGCCAATGATGTCAAAAACCTGCAAAAAGAAATTCATGATGAAAAGAAATATTAGTGAAAGTAGTTTCACGAAAACAACACATTAGTAATGCTGACGTAAATCAGTACATGGAAACCCTTGGCAGAGAAATGCAATGCCACTACCAGGATCATCAACAACTTGTAAGAGGTTCCGGAATGGTGACTGTAGACAGTGGCCAGTAGCAAATGAAAACTAACCATGTACAAGTACCAAAGCAATCCAGTGGATGACTAGGTATGTCAGTAAGTCTTCTAAATAACAGATAATTACATATAAGAAGGACAGGCCACAACTCCAGCTAAAGAAAACAATCATGATTGTGTGTGACAAAAGACATGCATTACATCCCACAAAATTCTATAGGAAAGAGAAATTTGAAACTAAGTTGCTAGTAACATACTAGAAATAAGTGCAGCAAATAGATGCCACCTTTTCCAAGCCAGAGTCTGTTAGGTGTATGGACATGCAAAATATATACGCAACAGATGACCTATACATTCCTTCATCTCCGACACCAGCAGATAGAGAAGTTGCCCATCCTCTAAGTTTAAGAAAAGAATGTAGGCTCCCTCTGCCCTCTGAAGTTTAGATTTGTTCAAAAAGAAACAGCAAGTTAAAAGCATGAAGTAGCCATGTGGCATATGCATTAGAAAAAGGAAGAAAGATGCTCCGTAGAAATTTATACCATGAACTTTTTTGCCCTAGTCTTTTAGCAGACGTGATTGTTAGGAAAGCCAAAAGGTTTCCTTTATTTAAGTTTTACATTTTAAATTCTTTATGCCTACCAACATAGCATGGCACCCAAAGAACTTGTAGTGCGTTTTTCATGGTGTAGCCCATTGAGAGCTTGAAATCTTCTCAACTTTTCCTCAACAAAATTATTTTACTGATAAGCAGATGTTCCTGGAGTCGTTGAGGATTATATTCTTGCGATATTGCAAAAAGTAAAAAAACAAAAAAAAAAAAATTGAACAAAGCATGCTTAACAAACCCCCTTTCATCCGAAAGTAAATATGAAACTTTGAGGAAAAGAAAGCCCCTCAAACAGTCGACATCATATGAGGGTGGTGCTAGGTATTCAGGATCTACCATTATCCTTCAGAGACAATAAGCCTATCAATTTTTACAATTAACCAAGAACATTTGCCTTTCCCCATTAAAAAATGACAGAAGAAAATATTTACCATGCCCAAGGAGGTGGGCTAAATAATCTTCTGATTTCTTCAGATAATCTTGACGAAGGCATGGCAGCGTCCATGTCAAGTCGAGTATGTGAACATCTTTAACTGCCTCTAACCTGTAAAGTTTACCAGCTGTCCAGATAGGAGCTTCCACCCTGAATTCTGGCTTCACTTGAGGACCTTTTCTTACATTGGAGAACAATTCCACAACCCAGTTCTCAAGTACATCAAGAGAATCTGCAAAATCTCAAATTTGTTAAAAATAAATAAATACTCTCAAATAATGTTCCACATCTTGGTAGATGCATGAAAAACTGCATTGTAACTTGCAAAGAAGAAAATTCGCACTACTCTTTAGACATCACCATAATGACAATAAACCTCAAAATCAAGCTATCTATTATCCAACCCAATGACCATTGCCAAGTCCACCGTGCAATGTCTAGCAATGTGTTGACACAGACCAGCAACCCAGCCTGTATAACTATGACTAGAACTTACACTCAAACCACCTCGGCGCCATCCCAATGTTGAGCCAATTCCAAAGTTGCCTCCAAAAAAAGTCACAAGAATCCTACCCACACTCATAAATTATATGAAGATTTTGAGAGTAGGAAAAACTCCTTTTTCATCTTATTTCATCAATGGTTTTGTGCCTCGTTTTATGGGGAAAACAAAAAGAAAAAACAAAACAAATTAACAATCTTTTCTACTAAATGACAACTAGCAGTCTGTTACGAATGCTTGATTGTCTAACAAGAATAAAATAATAGTGAGCAGTAACAGTAAATATAACTTATCCTAATATTTCTACACTTCCCCTCAATCTAGTTTACATAAATGTTGAGTAAGCCTAAATTAGATATCAATTTGTTGAAGGATCCTTCGAGAAGTGCCTTTATTAAAATATCTGCAGTTTGCTGACTAGTAGGAACATGGAGTATTGTAATAGTTTGATCTTCAATCTTCTCTCTGATGAAGTGCCGATCTATCTCCACATGTTTAGTTCGATCATGATGTACAGGATTTTTAGCTATGCTGATTGTTGATTGATTGTCACACCATACTTTTATGGGAGTAGTAACTGAGAATTTTATTTCCATTAAAATCCTGTTTAACCAAAACCTCTCACATATTCTATGAGCAAGTGACCGAAGTTCAGCTTCTGCATTATTTCGTGATACAACAGATTATTTCTTACCCCGCCAAGTGACTAAGTTTCTCCATACATAAGTACAGTACCCAAATGTGGATCTTTTATCAGTTACAGAACCCGCCCAATCTGCATCTGTGTAGATTTCAATATTCTTGTTCATTGTTTTCTGAAAAAATAATCCTTATCCTGGAGTCTTCTTAAGATATCTTAGGATCCAATATACTAAATTCATATGATCATCAGTAGATTGATTCATGAATTGACTTGCAGTACTAACAGCAAAACTGGTATCAAGTCTAGTATGAGCGAGATAAATAAGTTTGCCTACAAGTTTTTGATATCTTTCTTTATCAACTGACTTGCCATTGGTTTTAAAACCAACTTTTGTAGTCGTTTCCATGGGTGTTTCTACTGGTTTATACCCAAGCATCCCTGTTTCTTTCAGTAGGTCAAGAACATATTTCCATTGTGACATATATATCCCTTTTTTAGAACAAGCAAATTCCATCCCCAGAAAATACTTGAGTACTCCAAAATCTTTTATCTCAAACTCCGTGACAAGAAAAATTTGAAGTTTCTGAATTTTCTCTATGTTATCATCTGTTAAAATAATATCGTCAACATAAACAATTATGATTGTTTTCTTACCTGAGACACTGTTCTTAACAACAAAGTATGATCAAACTGACACTGCTCATAACCCATATATTTGACTGCTTTAGTGAATCTGTCAAACCAACCTCTCGGAGATTGTTTTAGAACATGAAATATCTTTCTGAATTTACACACCTTGTGAGATTCATATGTGGTCTCAATGCCCGGAGGCACTTCCATATATACCTCTTCTTCCAAATCACCATTGAGAAATGCATTCTTTACATCAAGTTGACAGAGAGGTCAATCAAGATTAGAATCAAGAGAGAGTAATACCCGGATAGTGTTGTACTTAGCCACTGGGGGCGAATGTCTCCTGATAGTCTATCTCGTAGGACTGAATGAAGCCTTTAGCCAGTAGACGAGCTTTGTACTGATTCACACTTTCATCAGGATTGGGTTTTGTAATGAATACCTTTTGCACCCCACTTTATGTTTTCCAGGTGCAAGTTCTGTTAGTCCCAAGTCTTATTCTTTTCTAGAGCCCTGATCTCTTATTGAATAGCACCTCTCCTCTCTGGTAGTGCAAGGGCTTTATGAATTGTTTTAGTTTCAGTGGAGCTGTCATCAAGCTTACTTACAAATGCATGATACTTTGAAGACAAATTGCTGAATGAAACATAATCCTGCATAGGGTGTCTAGTACAAGATCGAGTTCCTTTCCGCAAAACAATAGGTAACTCAGTATCATAGGCTGTAATAGTAACAATATCAGAAATTGTGTCTGAAAACTTATTACCTGATGTGTTCTTACTGCTCGGAACTGGAATAGATTCATGGCAATGTGTAGTTGGTTCAGAATCTTTATTAACTGGAGTTTTGTTTCTCCTAATAAAGACACGTAACTCTTTATTGATAATAGTAGGTACAGTTCAAGTTCAAGTTCAGACTCTTTGATACTGGTTTCAGGAAAATTTGAAGAAGACTCAAGAATAGACTAGGGAAGAGAGGTGAGAGGTGGTGTACTTATATCTCATACTTGGTATTCCTGATTAATAATGTCCCTCTGAATATCAGTAGTGGGATAAAATGACTGGTTTTCAAATAAAGTAACATCCATATTGTTGTAGAAACGATGGATCCTGAGATAAAAACATTTGTATCCTTTTTTATTTGGTGAATATTCAACAAAAACACATTTAAAGACCATTGGGTCAAGTTTACCCCTGAAGTGAGTATGAAAATGGACATAGGTTGAACAACAGAAAATTTTGTAGGGAAGGGTATGAAGAATATGAGATTGTGGAAAGGTCTTTAAGAGTGTATCATAGGGTGTTCGAAATGCAAGAGTTCAGGAGGGCATGCGGTTTATCAAGTATGTAGCGGTGAGAACAGCCTCTCCCCAAAGAAATTGTGGAACATAGGTAGTCAACATGATTGATCGGGCTATTTCAAGAATGTATCTATTTGTTCATTCGCCTACGCCATTTTGTTGTGAGGTATTAACACGGGAACTTTGATGAATAATGCCGTGGTAAAAAAAAATAGTCTCAAAATGATTTCAAAATATTCACACCCATTGTCTGATCTCAATACTTGAATTTTAGCGTGAAATTGATTTTGAATCGTAATGTGAAATTTTTAAAAAATTTAGCCAATTTCATATTTTTCTTTCATGAGAAAAATGCAAGTGATTCTAGTATAGTCATCAACAAATGATATAAACCATTCTGTCCCAATGATATTAGTAACCCGAGATAGACCTCATACATCACTATAGATTAATGAAAAAGGTTTTATGAGTTTGTAAACTAAACTGAAAAATGAATTTCGAATATGTTTGAATAGTTGACATACTTCGCACTGAAAGGAAATTGGATTTTTATTTCGAATTAAAATAGGAAATAACTTTTTCAAGTACAAGAAATTAGGATGTCCTAAACGGTAATGTCATAACATAATGGGGCATTCCCTATTTAAATTGTTTACAGATTCAGAATTAGTACATACTGTATGATAACTTTGTCTACTAAAAGAAGAATTGTCAGCTTACAGTAGATAAAAACCTGAATCCATACTAGCATTGCCAATCGTCTTTTCCGAGTCCAAATCCTGAAATTCACACAGTTTAGAGTTAAATGTAGCTACACAATTCAAGTCTTGTGATAGTTTGCTTATTGACGGGAGATTGCAATTCAAATTTGAAATGTATAGCACAGAATACTTTAGCTTGGGTGATAGTACAATTATTCTTGTTCCTTCGATTTGGGAACTGGAGCTATCAGCAATTTTAACTGAGAATTTACCTCTACACTTACTGTATTCCTTAAATAGTGAGATATTCTCAGTCATATGGTCGGAAGCACTCGAGTCAATAATCCACATGCCCCTTTTTGAGAAATAAGTTGAGAAACCAGAAAAATTACCTTTATGAGCTGTGGAAGCATTACCAAGAACCATATTGGGAAAAAACATTTTCTGAAAAAAGGTTGATCTGTTCAGGACTAAATAAACTTTCAGTAGGAACAGCTGTAGCTAATTCCACCTCAATTGAGATAAAAATTGCCCTGATAAGTTGGTGACTTCTTTTTAGCTGGCTTCCCACGAAGCTTCCAGCATCTTCCACGAACGTGCCCAGGTTTTTTACAGTATTCGCACCATGGTCATCCCTTCCGCTCAGTCACCCGACTTGTGGGAGCTACAACAGCCTCGGGTGAGAGATAACTGCTTTCAGCAAGGTTATGGCTGAGTTGCGATTCACCCATCATCACCTTCTTCCTGCTTTCTTCGCGTCGCACCTCAGAGAACATCTCTCTGATGTTCTGGAGAGGTTTGGATCCAAGGATGCATCCTCTTATCTCGTCAAGGCATTTGTTCAGTCCAAAGATAAATTTGAATATTCGTTTCTGTCCCACGATGCTTCGCAATCTCCTGGTGCCCTTTGGACAAATCCAAGCATGTTCCTCAAAAGCGTCAAGCTACTGCCATTTTCGGGTAAGAAAATTGTAATATTGGGTTACCGTCTTTTCTCCTTGGTGCAGGTTGTGAAGACTTGCTTCGACTTCGAAGATGGCAGAAGTGTTGTCATGGGTGGAGTAAAACTCACGAGCTGCGACCCAGATATCGTGCACAGTCTCATAAAGGAGAAAATTTTCTCAAATCTCAGTGGTCATTGAGTTCACCAACCAAGGCATAACAAGATTGTTCTCTACTTTCCATGCCTGAGCATTTGGATCATTTGCGGGAGGTGGTGAGAGCTCTCCAGTGAGGTATTCGTCCCGACCTTTCCCTCGGATAAACATTAACACCGAGGACGACCATTGTAGATAGTTACTGTCATTTAGTCGATGGCCAATAACGAAAGAAGGAGCCTGATCAGTGAGAGTATTGTTGTAAGGCACCGGAAGATAGGAGACCGAAAGGACTTCAGGCAGAGAGGAAATCTGTTCATCCATTGCCTATTGAATGCAAGAGGGATGCTGAAGAATTTGGATCAGGTATGCTCTGATACCATGAAGATTTTGAGAGTAGGAAAAACTCTTTTTTCATCTTATTTCATCAATGGCTTTGTACCTCATTTTATAGGCAAAATAGAAAGAAAAAACAAAACAAATTAACAACATTTCCTACTAAATGACAGCTAACATTCTGTTACGGATGCTTGGTTGTCTAACAAGAAAAAAATAACAGTAAGCAATAACAGTAAATATAACTTATCCTAATATTTCTACACTATACTTTCTTGCTGCCACACGTCCATTATTTGCAACCCTGTTAAGATTGCATGTCTATAACTTTTGTGGAGAAGGGCACATTTGTGAAATCTCTCAATTCTATTTTTTTTTTTTTTTATTGCTAAGGTGGAAGGAGCTGTAAGCATTAAGGAATACCAGCCTATAAGTTTAGTGAGTTGTATTTATAAACCTGTAGCGAAGGTCTTCGCAAGGAAAATGGCTAAAGTCTTGAACAAAGACATTGGGGAGAACCAACATGTATTTATGGAAGGACGGCAAATTATGGATATGGTGTTGAGAGCCAATGGACGAACAATTATACAAAAAGAGAGATGGGGTGTTATGCAAACTGAATATGGAGAAGGCGTATGATCACATGAATTAGGGCTTTCATTGATTACATGTTGACAAAAATGAGTTTTAGAGCTAAGTGGAGACAATGGATTAATGCATGTATCACTACAACATCTTTTGCGGCTATGGTGAATGATGGCCCATCAACTTTTTGCAGAGCACCAAGAGGCATTAGGTAATAGGATCCTCTATCTTCCTCATTGTTCATAATTGTTATGAAAACACTAGGAAGCTCAGTTTGTTTTGCGGGTGCAAGATGGGTGACAGAGAGTCGGCAAAGGAAATAACACACTTATTTTTTGCTGATGACACATCAGTAGTTTGTCAACCGGATGAGAGGTTACTACTAAACCTTTGATGCGTTATGCTAGGCTTTCAAGTTGTGTCCGACCTCAACATCAATCTTGCAAAGTCTAAGATGAGTAGATTGAGAGCAAATCTAGAAGACTAGCAAGAATTTTGGGGTGAAAAATTGCGAATCTGTTGATCAAGTATTTGGGTATGCTGTTGGATGCTAACTATAAAGATGTGAGAACACGAGAGCCTGTTGTTGCCAAATTTGAGAGAAAACTTGTAGGGTGAAAGAGAAATTTACTCTTCAAAGGCGGTAGTTTAACCCCCATCATAAATACACTAGCCAATCTTTCTATATACTACATGTGCCTTCTATCAATTACGAAGAGTATTGCCAATAAGCTAGAAACAATAGAAAGTAGATTCCTATAAGGTGATTCGCAAGAGAAAAGGAAATATCATTTGATCGCTTGATAAATGATTAAAAGACTACTAAGTCAGGGAAATTTAGGAATGAGATCCGTCTTTGAGATGAGCAAGACTCTTCAGGGGATGGATTTGGAGATTTTTTAAGGAAAGGAACATCTTATGGAGGAGAATCATTGAGGCGAAGTTTGGCACTTAGAGGGACGTATTCCAGAGTATCGACAAGACCATATAGGCCAGAGTTGTGAAAAAGAATTTGCACAGAAAAAGAGAAATTTCAGGAGTGCCTTAAGTGGACAGTGGGAGATGGGGAGAGAATCAGTTTTGGGTCTGATACTTGGCTTGATGGAACGGCTATGAGAGCGAGGTTCCCAAGGATTTTTGCTATTGCACGATACAAGAATATTTTTGTCAAAAAAGGTGTTCGCCAAAGGAAAGGGTAGGAAGGAGTGACATGTGGAAGTATTGTGAAATCTTAATGATTGGGAGATAGACGAACATGAATCACTGTAAGCATTTTGACCTCAATTTGTCCTAGTGACGATGAGGACCAACCTCTATGGACTCTTAGTTCATTGAGACAATCCACAATGGAGATTTTTTTTTACAAATATTGACCAAGAGAGAGCCAAACAAAGGAAACTTCCCATTTAGACAAATAAGGTGACTAAATGCATCCCCAAGGATAGCATTTTTTGGTTGGAAAACAACTCTTGGAAGCATCTTGACTATTAATAGACTTATGAAAAAATGGAAGATTTTTTTGAAAGTAATGAGAAAATGGAAGACTATGGTGAACTAGTATTGTTTATGTAAGAAAGCGGAGGAAACATGCGATCACATCCTTCTTCGCTGTCTCATTGCATACAGCTCATGGTCTATGACTTTTGGGATTTTGGGGTACAACTAAGTCATGGCAGTTTCACAAGTTGGAATAAATTTGGATATGGAACGGTTTTCCGAGTCGGAAGAAGTATTTGGGACTCATTCCATTAGCTATTGTTTTGGTTGTCTGGAAGGAAACGAATATGAGAGTTTTTGAGGGAATGGAGGAGGGTATTAATAAAATTTGAGAGAGATGGTTCCAATCTCTTGGATTTCGATAACTAAATAACATTTGTACTCCATAGAGAACTTGGCGAACTAATTGATATGCTAACCGATATGTAAATTGTTTTTGTATATGGGCTTTGCACTCCCTTGGTGCATGTAATTAGTGATACACGTTTGTACTTTTTATTTTTTTTAAAAAATAAAATATTTGGAGTAATCCATATAACGAAACCTCTACCAAGTGATAATTTGTTTACACACATGTTTCTGATAATGTACATAGATATAACAAAAAGAAGACATCAATAATAAAGGTGAAAAGAAGGTTTACCTCCTCCAATAACCACTAACTTCATTGACCCACCATGGTAGTGATCTTTATACAGTTTCATAATATGTTCCCGCAGGTTGATCCCTTTCTCCATGGCATCAACTAAGCTTTTTTTATTTCCTTTCAGCACAGGCAATATAATGAGTCATTCTCTATTAAAAACAAATAAATAAAATAGGAAGTGGGATGTGAGAAGATATTGCAACCATACCCCAAAAGAATCTGTTAAATGGGTGACCTGGTCCAGATGTATGGCACTGGAGTTGTTGAAGGCGACAGGCATCATTTTGCAAAGCCTGGTTAAATTCTATGATGCAGTTTCAATTGTGTACAAGTTGGACAATATGGAATTTCATCAGTAATTAACCAAAAGCAAATGAACAAAACTAAGCCTTTTTTCTGAAAGAAATGAGACAAAGTAGAATCATATTACTAATACACACCTGAATCCACAGCAAGGACTTCCCGTTCCATGGCTTCAATTTTCATGAGCGGAGAAACAAAAAATTGGGAAAATCTGACAACAGAAGGGCCATCACGAGAGGCAATAATGCAAAAGTTACATGCTAAAAAAATAATAATAAATGAAATGAACAGTAACCTTAACAACCATATTGTGGAGCAGAATGGTTGCAATTTTGCTAACAAATCAAAATTGAAAACACATCATCAAGATGTTATTATAGGATGATGTATTTCAAACTTTTAAACGCTTAGGAAAATAAATATGATTAACACAAATGCATTTGGTAGTAAAACCCAGCTTAAAAACAGGAGCATCAATGAAATGATTGTCATGACAAAAATGCTGCCTAAAAGAATAGTAAAGCTGTATCCCATTGCCACACAGCTGAAGTTCT